GTGAGGTGGATTCTATCGTACTAAAAGGAAGTGTCATTACATGAAAAAACAAAAAACATGCGGAGTATTGCTTACATTGCTTACATCTTGTTTAGTAGCGCAACAAGACACATGAACACCATAATAATCATGCTGCGTATTGCATATGTTTTCTCTATTAACGAAACAAGACACACTAAAACCAAAATAATCATGCTGAGTATTGCCTACACCTTCCTTCAAAACTATACCATGAAAGCAGAATATTAGTCCGGGCCCACTCAAATTTTAGGCTCCAGACTCCAGACAGCAAAAGGTTTGTGTTTCAACAGTACTATCGCAGCAAGCAAAACAGTTCCCGGATGTTCCCGGGCATTCGTGGCTACTGTCCGGGACGGCAATACAACTGTGTGGGCAACTCATGCACATATGACTCCATCTTCAATCCAAAGCTTCGACATGACCGGTAAAAGAACTCGAGCATCCATATGTTCGCACCGTTGTATCGAAGATCCAAGACATTGCACCAGAATAATGATGTCCTCTTGTGCAGAACACTCCTATGCACATGGTCTTTTTGGATATATCTCGCTCCCGTAAGAGCCACTTGACGACGGAGAAGCGTTTTTCACTGAAAACAGCATGACCGTACATCGACCTTAATGTGGAATCATCAAAGCTGCGATCGTGCAGTGCTTTGTTGTGGTGTGGGTCATCTAGACACGATGCATTTACTGTGCGCTCGTATGCCTCGTCGTCGGGCTTTCCCTACGTCTCAAACAATATGAATGCCCATGAGGAAAAGGACTAGCGGCGGCCCATCTGGTTCACGCGGCATACGGACCGGCGGTGGCTCATCTGGTTCACGCGGCATAAAGAATGGCGGTGGCCCATCTGGTTCAGACCAATGTCGTCGTCTTTTTACCACACTGGTCGACGAAGGCGGTAGCCCGTCTTCGGTAATTATCCCTTGTACGGGTGGTCATCTCTTTACCGCTGCGCTCGCAAGCGGTAGCCCATGCACGGTGATGACGAGACCACCCGATTGCTCCATTTCCTGGAAGGCCGTGCAGTTCACGGTTTCTTTGCCGAGAATCAGGAGGTTATATCTCACCGTGTTGTTGCACGACCAACATCGTTTTCGAAGTAAGCCCGTGTTGGCAAGCTCTTCAGAACCTATGACGATGGCCTGGCAAACTTCGTTCTGCGGGGAGCGGAGGGTTGCCTTTTCACATACTGGACAAACATCTCCAGGGAAGGTGTACTCTCGGTAGCTTGTGTTGGGAACCGACACAGCTGGAGTGTGAGGTGGGGCTTGCCCATCCACAAGCAACACCTTCGAGCAAGGCACCAATCACTTGGTCCGAGACTGTGTTTCAGAATTGCGGGCAAGCTGCAAATCAACTGGTCCCAGACAGTTGCTGTGGCAAGAGATGTGATCCAAGCCTGTTTTGAGGCGATCGGAGTAAACCCTGATGGACCCGTGCGCATGACATCATGCCAAAGTATAGAAGCCCAGCTAGAGCTACCACGCTCAGCACAATCAGAAGTCAGGGAGCAAGACGTAGCAATGGTTGCCCAAGTCGTTTGTCCATGTTCAAGACGGACGAAGACATCAGTCGAGACTATATTCACTCGAACAATTGCATGTTCCTGGCGGCCTCTTCGTCTTCATCAGCATCGCAATTGTCCTGTGAAACTGAAGACGTCGAGGTCCTGGCATGCTTGAATGGTGGAGATGAAATGTTAGGACTCTGTGCCATGGGTGCTGTCGAAGGTCGAAGGATTCCGTGGTGTAGTCATAGCAGGTGTGTCCTCCCCATAAGCCGCGGCCCACTCATCCTGACTGTGCCCTAATGCGAGATCCTCTTTTTCTTCTGGGGACGCAAAGGGTTCGCTTACCAGAGAAGCTTCGGCACCAAGTGCCTCCTGATAGCTTGGGGTTTTGACGTGCTGTCCATCCTGGTACATCGAGTGGAATCTCTTGTTTGCGCTGTTCAGCCAGTCATCTTGCAGTCTTTGGGCAGCAAAGCGGTGTATGGCTTGGTTTTGGTGCTCGCTGGCCAATCGCACGCACACGCCCAGGTCGCTTGCAATGATGACGTTGGAGCACTTTAAGATTGCCATCAGGTGTGGTGTGGAGGCGTTGTTGACTGTTGGACCAAACATATCTTGCAGCCGACAATCATTTTGGGCTCTTTCTCGCTACCCCAAAGCGAATCAGTGTCAATCTGACACTGATTACGCACGAATTTCGCAGCACGGTAACGTGCGTCGGCCAGAGTGTTCTCACCCACATGCAGGAAGGATTTCACATCTTCCATATTCATCGACGCAAGAAGGGGATCATGCAGAAGGACATGTACGTGGAGTTCACCAAGTCTCTCCCTGAAACCGTCAATCTGCTTCGATCGCCTCCAAACAGGGATGTGACACTCCAGACCACGAGCAGTCACCAAGTGCCCAGCGACTGCAAGAGTAAGGATGATGGCAGTCGGTGTTATGCCAACCCCAGGACGGCCAAACAGGATGAGTCCATAACTGGTCATGGTGGAATGGACAAAAGGAACGACCTTGTCTACAAAACCCTATTCAAGTCATGAAGTACAAGCAGGAAAAAGTACTCCGGTTCCAACTGCGACAGGCCTTGTTGACGATGTGATGGGGCCACGTGTAGATGGGAGACCCACGATCTCGGACAGAGCGGCGCATGCTTGTCGATGTAATGATGCCTCCATGCAAATCGTCTTCACTTGGTCCCAAGCTTTTGCCGTCTCCGGAGTCATCCTTTTTTCATAGCCTTTGCACAGACCTTGACCACAAGAGACTGTGATAGCCACTGCTTTCCAGAGATCACTTGACCCGGTCGTTGTTGCCACCTGGTAATTGATGATATGAACTTGCTGGGAGCAGAAGGCCTTGGCAAGACCTAACGGGATGAAGGCCGCAGAGCGAAAGAATTTAAAAACTGTGCAGGTGCCGCTCTCATCCGGACACAAGCCATTTGTGGGACGCAGGAATCTCCAAGGGCATCTCGAGGGCGAAGTGCATCGGGTAACTGGTTAAGGCTGGGCGGGTCCGTGTTCATGGCGGCGTGAATCCGATCACACCCTTCCGGGGACACGCCTTCTACGACGTGGAAGAATTGAACTTTCCGCTTTTGGTGGAGGATCACTCGTTCGGAACTTTCCAGCGTCGTTGCTGTTGTGGATGAGCGAAATATGATATGTCACGTATGTCATCCTGGCAGCAACGAACGCGTGTTGTTCCATGATTTGGAAACGGCAATGGTTGGAAGCAGTTTCTATGCCGACGACGCATTGTCTCAAGAACGGGTGCAAGTGCGATGATAACGATGATGACGATGATCATGATGATGATGATGATGGTGGCGCTGGGGCTGCTGGCGGTGCTGGTGGTGGCGGCGGCGGCGGTGCGAGGGCCATGTATTTATGTATGTATGTATGTATGTATGTATGTATGTATATAAATGTACGTATGTACGTACGTACGTACGTATGTATGTATGTATGTATGTATAACTAAATGAGAACTAACTGATAATACGGAGATATTAGCATAATGGAGAAATCCTCATTAACAAATTGTCGTGTCGTGTATTCTTAACATACATTCTTGTTACTGAGGGCATCGGAATATGAGCATACGCGCAGGCTGCCATTGACCCTATCATTGACAATTCTTTGAGCTGTGTACCGATTCCTAGACTCTTAGACATACCTCAGGGCGAACAATTGTAGCACGGCTTGCGGTGAAACGTGTGCGACATGCCTTCGCAGCAAGAACGCCATGCGCGCTCATACGCTGAAGTGCACCCGAAGTAATCACTCAAAGACGTAGTTGCGCAATCCGGTGTGTAAAGAGCACAAAGAACGTGTTCCCACCTTCGGATGTCGGTCTCTGACAAAACACTCCGCTCGCCGGAACTATCTTCAGCTTTTTGGGCTTGGGGGCTCAGGAAGAATAAAGTCCGAGCAAACACCGAAGTATCTAACACCGAAGCAACAACAAAGGCCGCATTCAGTCCAGAAACAGTCTCTCATGCACTTGTCCACGTCCGACGAGATCCAACATGTATCTTTTGACCGTCTCGGTGCATTTTGGCACCTGAGGCCTATCAGAGTTCATGCTTCGTGACCATTCGTCCACCAATTGTTTTCCGACAGTGCGAGAAAGCGTCATTCCCAATCGGTGTTGCACGACTGGTATCTGCTGGGTGCAGTCGGCGTGGCGATCCATATGTCCAAGTTGGTGTTCCATCAGCCTCTCGGTCGGTGCCTTGCCTGGCGTCTCCAATCTTCTCCAACCCAATATGCCCATCTGTGCGGCGATCGCTTGTCAGTGCCGCCTAGTTGCAGGCGGCCTTTTTGTAACAGAAAGGACTATTGCGTGGGATGGAAAACGGTGGTTTGTACCTGTTCGAGATGTTCGTTTACATAGTTTCAGGGCTAGTTTGGTGATTCTGTCCCTTGTACCTGTTTGAGAGGTTCGTTTACATAGCTTCGGGGTTAGTTTGGGGATGTTTTCCTTTCTGCCAGCAGTCCTTTCTGCATGCTTTCGACACGCACGTGTATGTGCAGGGCTCCTCGTGTTGATATTTGTGTTTTAAAACACGGCTCGTGTTTTCAAGCATGTTCTTGACCAAACCGAAAAAACAAACGGACCAAAAAAACCAAACGGACCAAACAAAACAAAGAAAAACCATAGATTTCCACACTAGTCCAGACTCCGGAGTAGTGCTGTTTTGTTTGGTTTTTTTTGGTCCTTTTGGTTTTTGTTGTTTTTGTTGGTTCGTTTGGTTTCGGTGCTCTGCTCTTCCGTCCGCCCCCACCGTCGCTGTGAAAACTCTATGATGCCGCGTCTGTTTTAAAACACTTCGTCTCTGTTTTAAAACACATCTGTTAATCCTGCTGCTGTGAATCCGGGATGTCCAACTCGACTCTCAAGTCTTTGCCTACTTATCGCATCGAGTAATGTAGTACAACTGCTGGAAGAGAATTTCATGTGCCCCGCACATGATGAAAGACAGCTACCGAGGGAACCTCGTGCACTCTGGAAGCAGCTTCGAAATCCACTCCCATAATGTCCTCTGGCCAGAGAAATCTTCAGGGCACTTGCGATCGCATCGAGTAGTGAACAACAGCGATGTGAAACATGCCATGCGCCCCGCATATGATGAAGGACAGCTACTGGGGGAACCTCATGCAGTTTGGAACCCGTTGCGAAGATCCGAAACTATCTACGTCAATGAAATATTCGAAGCACCTGTGCTTTTAAACGCTTGATTCTTGAGTCTGGCGGTCTGACTAGTCCGGATTTTTTGTGTTCTTGTGTTCAACATTTGAAGTACAAGTTTCCCCATTAAGTCCCAGCCAACGGTTATGCGCCATCGTTACAGGAATAAAAAAACAATGCTAAGTTAGAACGTTGGAAAATGGGACATGTAAAGACAAAGCATGTGGTTTGTCAAGACTACTGAAATTGTGCCTTGGGAATGTGGAACATTGGAAATTGCAAACAAACAAAATTGGAAACTAACGCCTTTGGAGCGTGAATTTAAACGGTCAAATTCAGAAGGGGCACCCCGTCCAGAGCAGGGAAATGGAAAATTGGACGTTGGAAACGAAGCATATTCCATACTGCATATTTAAGAGTTCCTGCTATGTCGAATAGCACTAATCAAACTGTCAATAGGAAAATCGACAGCTCAAAAATTTCAAGCTGGAAAACAAATTTAATCCCCAGCTGTTCACATCCAAGACTTCGTCCAATTGCAATTAAACCCTAACCCCTAGACCCCAGGGCGTGAAGCTTCCTGTTAATTTTGTTTCTCAATTGGCTGCTGTGGGGTGTAACGGTGTAACCATTAGCATCTAACACTTAGCCTGGTCTCAACCTAACAGTGTATCTCTCCAGTTCACTTCAGGGGCTTAAATTCTCTGTCCTGTTGTGCTAGAGTGTACTACACTATACTATGCTGTGCTATACTATACTACACTATGTTACACTATATTGTACGAGATTAGACAAGACTACTCTACTCCACCCTGCTCTGCTCTATATATATATATATATACACCCACCACAGTATACTCTACCGTACCATATTATACTATACTATACTATACTGGGTGCCATACTTTACTTTTCTAAGCAATACTATATTTTACTGCACTATAGGATACTAGACTATACTATACGCAAATTGCTACTACTGTTCTTATTCCTAGTATTATTCCTATTCCTATTCCTACTATTACTACTACTACTATTACTAGTCCTATTAGCATTACGATTACTATTCTTATTTTATTACTATATCATAATATACAAATGCTTGTGTCGTTGAACAAGTGTGCAGTGCAAGGGGTGAAAACACAAAAAAATCATCCCACACAACAGTCCCCCCTCCAGAAAGGACTCCAGAAAGAGGGAGGACTATTGCGAGAAAGGACTGCGTGTCGTGCTGAATGTTGGTGCCGTGAGATTGTCGGTATACTCTTGCTGCAGGCAGAACCCGACAATGCAACCCAATTCCCCAATCGAGATGCATGTTAGATGGTACAATATGCAGGGAGTGTCACGAGTACTCATACGTTTTCGACGCTACGTATGCAAACAGAAGCAAGCTTGCAAGTAGGTCCGCAAAACAGTTTCTCCGTTTCATCGAGGCACGCAGTTCACAATTGAATCTTGAAATGCAAAAAGAAAAGAAGTCTGCAATTCCAACACCTCTCCTGTTTCACGATTCTGCCAAGGAAAAACGTTCCCAAAGCTGCGCTCATGGGTGTCTCACGTCATGGAAAGTGCCGAACGACAACAGCCCGTGTGGACGACATCGTCATGAAAGTGTTGTCATCCGAATCCGTCTCGAAGTGAAGCAAGGGCCGACTTCGGGGCCTTGTGGAGAGCCGGCCACAGCTGGAGCAAGCGACGTGCTGTCGGAGAGCCGCTCGTCGAAGACACAACTCCGCATCTGGGCCTCGGAAGAGTTGAACTGCTCGCGGCGTGCAGGGGCCTTGGGACTTTCTCCTCTTTGCTTCTGCTGCGCATGGTCCTGTGTCCGCATGCTTGACTCCTCTTTTGCGGAAGGGATTGATCCACAGCAGCAAGCGAAATTGTGCCCCCCCTTTCTCTCCCTCACCCCCTGTTGCCCTTCTAAGCATTCGGGACGATGAGGGATTCTGGAATCCCCCACGTGCTTGCGAATAACATACTAACACTCTCGGCATGGGTCTCTCGGCTCTCGTCCAGGCTTGGTGACAGGGCGTCCGTTCAAGGCATCCTGCACCGCCTGCGTGGCGCCCGAGGTCTCGACCTGCGACGGCCGTGGGTCTCACGGTCTCTGGTGAATTCACAAGCACTGCGTCGCCTTCAGGAGCTTCTCCCTCCGCAACCGAGCCTCCGCCTCCCGAACAAACGACCGCGAAAACGGCCACGCTGCTCGGCTGGGCGCGGCGCCTCTTGCTCCAGCTTGCCCGTCTCCGTCTCATCCAGCAGCTCGCGCCGCTGTCGCTCCTCTTGAAAGTCCTCCACGCATGTGATTTCTATGCCATATATTCTGAGAGCCTGCACACCTGTCGGCATGCCGTCCTTTCTCGTCAGCACGGGATGATCGGACAGTTTCGATGCTTCCGCATACTGTTTCGTGCCGTCCGGAGCCGTCAGAATCACGAGATCCTCAGGGCTTGCTTGTATGCTTGTAGCCTTCGGTTGCAAGAACTTGATGCAGGCCTCTTTGTGTGCCCTCTGGACAACTCGCACACCCCAGGCTGCCTGCGACAATGAAGCTACTGCTGGCGCAACTGCTTGCAACCTACCATTTCTGCGTCTGAGGCACGGGGATTCTGTGCTCATCGCGCAGGCGGACCTCGTTGGCAGCTTTGCTGGGACTTCTTCGCAGATCGGGCACAGGCGACGGACTTCCAGCTTCCGTTCGGTGCGAGGAGGCGCCTGGCACCAGGGGCCTGAGAAGTGGAGACTCGCAGTCCTAGTCGCAGCTCGCAGCGTCTCCCGGAGGCGCAGCTCGGTGTCACACCGTTCTTTCTCTTTGTCCAGAAGGCTGCGAATTGCTTCACGGCTTTCTCGTGCGACTTCCTTAGCAGATGGCATCAAGAGTTGCCAGCCCGTCTCTTGAAGGTCACATAGCAATGACTGCGCCGTGACCTCTGGTCACTAAGCCCGGCACTCCTTGGAAACGAGTTTCACGTACGTCGCCTGACACGTGCACGGCATGGAACTTCTGATTCGCAGCCATTGCATTCCTCTCTGTCTCTGACCCTCACTTCTCTCCGCAAGACCTTGGCCATCTCGTCGAGGGCCTTCTCGTCTTGAGTGAAGAGGTCATGCAGCACCTGACAACGACACATCACGACACAGCAAGGCCCCTTGGTGTCGAGGGCATCTCTAGCAGGCACGGAAGCTCACAGCGCAAGCGATGCAACCGATGCAAGCGGTATCGGTGCGCACGTTTTGGCCGTTTGCCCCATGGCCCATGTGACATCTCTCTGCCGCACTCATCGGTAGGATTTCTGGAAGCGGGCGCGGGCTGAGCGGCCTCCGACATGATTGAACTTGTGGGAAAGCCGACACGCACACGCGGACAAAGAAGCTGCTGTCTTTGGAGGGGCTCCTCGGAAGCGCCAGGCCTCCGAATTTTTTGGGCTCGCAGCGACGAGGATCGGCAACGATTAATGACCTGTCCTCAGCCATAAACAGAATTAGCACATGGCAACTGCTGCGTCTCAGAGCTGCATTGCCGCAAGAGCACATATGCCATCAAGATGTCCTTGATCTCCTTCTTTGAAGCCTCGGCGCTTGGCACCGAGGATGTGTAGCCGGACACGGTCACGAACGCGGAACCTCATCGATGAACTTCTGGTAGTAAGCTACGATGCCCTTTGCCACGGCCTTTCGAAAAATTCCAGCAGAGCTGCTGCAGCTTGAAAGGGGCATCGCACGAAGTTCGGCCTGACGAAGCGCATAGATCTGCCCCGTGAAGCCTCCACCCTTCACCCGCAACCGGATGTCCACCTGCGGGAGCGCAAAAAAATGTGAGGTCTCCCCAGTGTCTCCGTCTCCCTGACTCTTTTTTGTTCCTGCCTTGCTGCAGCGATCCTTTCCCAGCAGCAGCAGTGGCTCGTAAACCTGCAAGCGAGTTCTCTATGCGAGCAGAGATTCTGGCACAGGCAAGCGCTCTCCGAATCGCACAATTGCTGTCTTAAGCTGCCGCAGTGAGGCAACATACAATTCTGAACACAAACACGAGTTTCACGGTGCTCACTCACCCGATGTATCGCTCTCGCACCCGCGCGGTACAAGTCAGCAATAGAAATGTTGGTCCACAGCCGGAAATGTTCAAGCACAGCAATCCCGGAGCAATCTTGACATCTGTTTTTCTCTACCAAACGGAGTCGATACGTCGATGATGACCTCAAGGCTTTGCGTGACGGTATGGACCTCTTTTCCGCGCAGCTGCAGGCTTCCTGAATCCACGAATCCAGGCCTTCACCCGCAGGATGTCGGGCTTGACTGTGTGCAGCGGGCAGCCGTTCAGACGCACCTACGCATCACAGAAGCTCGCAGTGCACTTCGCAGAGTCCTCCAAGCCTGGCCACTACCCGAGCGCACGAGAGCCACGGCCACGGCCGTCTTCTTCCGCCCGAAGCATTGGACCTGTGAGCCAGCGCACTGCACTCGGCATGAGACACTACACTGCGACAGCCTTCTCACTCTTCGCGGTATGCGTGGTAGCTTCTCCCTCCATGATGCCTTCGCATGATATTCGAAGTGATGTGTCATCACTCCGCAAGAGCCTGATGCTGCCTGGCTGATGGGCTTCTGGGGCTCACTGGGACCGCTGAGCCAGACATTGCAGCGGGCAGCTGAGTCATCCAGGGCTTCGTCAAAAACTCTGACATGCTGACATGGGGCAGCCCGGTTGCCCCACTCTGCCTGGACCGAGCTTTCCGCATCGTCTTCCTGGCGGAGAGACTAGCCGTTTCAGAGAGGCCCAGCACGAGGCCGATCCCTCCACCCCGACCCTCTGGCCTGCACGTTCGCGTCCGTTCTCAGCCATTCTCTGAAAGTGGCTGCGACCTGCTTCGCTTTCTCGGAACTGGCTTGGCAGACACGACAAAGTCCAACGAAGCAGTGCCCGCAGTTAAGCCAGAAGCTGCAGGGAAGCGGTCGATATCCTCGACGGAGGCATCCGGGATGCCGGACAAGGCCTCCATGACGAAAGGTCCGCACGGCCAATACGTACACATTTACGTCTACATTCATGTGCTGAACGAGAATGTACTTTAAATCTCTGCCTTCTTCATTTCCCGTCCTTTCTGCTGCTCCTTGCAGAAGGCATCCCTCTACGGCGCTTCGCACGTCGAACTTCGTGCGGATGCGGTCCTCATCCTCCTCTGCACCATCGGCATCCTGCAGAACTGCAAGACACCCATCCATCCTTCCGCTGAAAGCAACGAGTTACGCATCACTTTGTCCATGGAGTCCTCGTCCTGATCTTCTCCTTCTTGTTTCCTGCGCCATGTGGTCTTCTGATTCTGGTAGCAGACTTCCGAATCATCCTGAGCAACGGATTATCATGCTTAGACATTCTCTTGCAGTTTGCGCGGATCCTCCTTGGAATTCCCATCCAGGAAGCGCAGCGGGAACTTTTCCTGGTTCCAGCACCACTGCATCACTGTAAACATCAAGCCAAGACCCACCCGCACTGCCTTGAGAATGGCTCGTGCAAACTCGAAGCGGTCCGTCGGCTCGGCATCGCCTGCATCTACAACGCAAAAGGGAATCAGGCCTTAGGGCCGAGAGCCCCGGGCCCAGGACCGTCCTTCTTCATCTAGGGGCTCTTTTGCATCGGCGCTTTTTGGCTTTGATTTCTCGCCCTTTTCCTGCAAAGCTTGGTGCCGAGCCCGAGGCCACAAAGAAGAAAGAAGGCAGCGCCCCGTACCTCGCGCGGGGGGGGCCTCAGCAAACCAAGTCGGCACTCAAAAGCCATCGATTGCGCGAGTTGCTACAGAAAGGCAGCGGCACAGAGCAGCCGATCTCCGCACATCGTTTAACCAGGAGCTGATGCAGCTCCCTAGCCTGAGGTTGTGCCCAGTGTGGACCCCAGACAGTGAAAGAATATCTACAGGTAGCAGTCTGAGCTCATCCAGGAACCATTCCAAGAGAGGCTCCCAAGAAGATCACACCCGGTGAGCACAAAAAGCACCATGTGGCGGAATGTGGCGGGAGCATGATTGGCACCCCAGAGCATTCACCGGAGTGTAGCCCTTCGAGCAGCACCCACACCAGTGGAGGGAGCACGATTCAGTCATCAACTTCGAGAACGTCCGCCTGTTTGTGGGGACGCGGCCCGGGACTGTTGAAAGAACAAGACTTGAGTCGAACATGTGAACCGCACCACAGCGCGAGGCGCGTGGGACCCTGACGTGCCTCGCAAGGTCAGGCAGGAACTGTAAGCTTTAAACACTTCACACACACAAACACTTGACAAAAAACCGTAACGTGGCCGTAACAAAGTGGTATAGCGTCACCGGATTCGGCTCGGGCCGCTCCGGCCTTCGCGTAGTCGTGGGTTCTGACCACCGCTTGAATGCTGTTTCGAAGCGACGTCAGCTCGTTTCTGTCTGGCCTTGAGTGGAGAGAGGCGAGGCAGAAGACAGACATGTCCAGTCGTGGTCTTCTCAGCTCCAGGCGAGGGCTGGATCCTTGCAGCTTGGATGGAGGGCTTCTCTGGAGTAGCCTGGCAAGTCATGCCTGCATTGAGCTCTCTTTCTTCCCTCATGTGTCTGAATTTCTGTGGCCTCGGCGACCGAGACACCCTTCGAAGGGGGGCTCGACATGTCCTGCGCCAAGTGCCAGGTCTGCGAGGAGGGCTGTGTGTGGCTTCTCAGCTGACAGCTGGCTCCTGATCCTTCGGCTCTGCGCCTACCAGCGAGGAGGGCTTCTGCATGGCTGCTGCCTCTCTCTCCCCAAAAGTGCCGCGACCGCCGCCTCCGCTGGCGCCTCCGCTGGCGCTTCGCTGCGGCGTGGCCACCCCGGAGGGTCCATGCACCTGGCCACGAAAGAAGGAGGGGAAGCGGAGTTGTTCCTTCATTCCGCCCCCGGCCTCGGCCTTGACCTTTGGGGAAAGCCGCATCGCAAACTTTGCGGCCGCAGACGTCGGCTTGGCTTTCGCCTTCGCCTAGAAAGCCCAGCGAGGAAGCTTTCAGGAAGCGTTCAAATGGGATGCTCTGCGCACCTTCCGCTTTGGAGGCAAGGCCTCCTGCTGCGCCTGCCCAAGCAACCCTACAAGCACAAGGACGGAAGATGACACAAGGTGGGCAGCGGGCACAAGGAAAAGATACAAGGCCTGCACGGAGGCTTTCTTCTCGCTCTTCTTCGGCGCTTTCTCCGCGGAAGCCTCCTCCTCCTTTTCATCCTTTTCCGCCTTTTTCTCCTCCTCTGGCTGCTTCCTTTTCATGGCGAAGTGCATCGCCAGGCTCGTCGTCCCGGGACCCGGCGGAGCAGACCTCGAGAGACAGGAGAAGAGGACGCGCGAGCGTCGCGCAGGTCGCGCGAGGTCGCGCGCAGGTCTCAGCGGCTCCGGGGCGAGCGCTTCCTGCTTCGACGCCGGAAGTCCACCCTGACTCATCCGTGCCATGCCAACTAAGAGGCTTGGAAAGCCATTTGGCCTGAAACGTTCGTCGCCAGCAGCTGCTTTGGCCTGTGTCGCTGAGTGGTGATCAAGGTACTTTGTTGTTTGCAGCATTGGACAAGCTCTTTCTCTTTTCCGCGGCATCTCTTCTGCGGCTGATTGGACGATAGCTGCTTCAGGTGACGAAGCAGCGCAGCCTTGCAGGAAGCTTCTCGTGCTGTTAAGCTGCAGGGCGAATCCTATTTGACGACCAATACCGCGCCTCAGGTACGCCTTGCCCGGAGCATCGCTTTGCCACGTCGCTGACACCAGGACCCGGCTGCGGGGGCTGGCCTAGGCTGAACGAGAAACAGGGGAGTGCGGGGCAGAAGTCGTGCCTGCCTCCTTGTTGGAGTTCTTGTCATCGACGGACCAGAGCCGGTCGGCCGCGATGATGGAGCGCAGGGCTGCCATGGTCCGTTCGGGGCCGGCCACGTGGATCAGCGCCTCGCCGCTCTGTTGGATGCGACCCAAGATCGCACCACCGAGCTGTCCGATATTCGTGGTGCGGCCAACCAGCAATGGGCTTTGCTTCGAAGGCTCCACACGCTTCTCCACCAGCTGATAGTGAGTCCGCAGGGCGGTCACCTCCATGGCACCTTCTCGAAACGCCCTGCCATGCGGCTTCTTTGTGACCCAATCCAAAGCCATGGCAACGATCTGGCCGTTGAAATCTAGTGTCATTGCCGTGGCACATGCTTTGACGACTACGCTGGCAGCTCTGATGCCGAGACTGTCGCAGAAGAGGCCTTGCCCCGCCTCTCGCACCACGTGGTCTGCCAGGCCTTTCATGTCAGTGTCTGAACGGACCCGATACACCTTACCACTGTAGTCCTCCTGCTCAGAGAGTGCTGGAAGCATCTGCGCCGAGCTGGCGCTTCTCTGTATGGGACTTCCGACAGAGCGCTCGGCATGGGCACGACCTTCGCCCAGTGTCAACATCCATGCCAGCTGCCGCACCCCAAGCAAGCCGAGGCCAGCGAACAACAACAAGCAACCAAGGCGCCGGACCATGGCAGGAGTGTCCAAGTTTACGGGAGCTTAGCCGATCGCGTCTTTGTGTGTCTGCGATAAGCACTGTTGTTGAGGACTCGATTTGCCAGGGCTGGACAGTCTGGACAGTGTTTCTTGTACTACGTTTCAAGGTTTGGCCAAAGAAAAGCGAAGGCTCCCTCAAGGCCGGGCACACGCGAACCGATGCCGTCCGCTGAGGCCTCCCATGGCATGGAGAGGCCGCCGCGACTCGCCACGAAGTCCTGAGAAGAAACGCTTCCAGAAGTGCCTCCCGAAGCCTCAAAGCCTTACGAGGCCTCAACATGACCTATTAAGGTCGAGGAGCTTGGAACTTTTTCAAGCCAGCACCGACAATGTTGTTCCGCTTTTGGTTTTCCTGGGCCACGGGGACTTCCCGAGGCTCCGAAAGTGCTGCTTGCGGCCTTGGTCTTCTTGACGAGATCCAGGAGCTCCTCACCAAAAACAGGGTCCACTTTAGGGGAGGCTTCGGCATTCCGGCGCAGCCAGCCTGGGATACCAAGGCTTGCAGGTCCAGCTGGAAGCGCTCCATGAGCATCTTGACCTCAGTTGCGCTCACACTCTCACTCTCACTCTCACTCACTTACCTTCTAAAGGTCGAGAGGAAGGGTTTTCTCACTTCTTCCAACTAGCCAGAGAGAAGGCCGGAAGCCCTCTCTCGCGCACAAACGCGCCTTGGTCGCCACAGTCTCAGTGCTACTGCTTTACAAACACTATAGGTAACGCCCAGGCCTCATCTCATCTTCACTAAGGCGAAAACCGGGGCTGGCTTGCAAACTCATGCTGTATCACAAGTGTGCAACCCGTGTTCTTTGCTTTGCTATGCCCTCTGTTGGGCCCTCTCTCTCTCGGGCAGGCAGGACGGCAGGGCAGGCAGGGTTCTGTTCTGTTCTTGGGGCTTATAAGAGACGAGTTAGGCCTCTCTCTGTCGCCCTCTCTGCGCACAGCTGCTGACCTGCACCATGTAATTCGCAGCGGACTTGCTCGTGCTGCCGGCCATCATCCAAGCAAAAAACCTGCCAACGACGGCAACGAGTTGAGCCTTTTCCGCGCAGAGCTGAAGACCAAGCTTGCGACGATGCGAGTGTGTCGCTGTACTGCTCCTAGCCGCGTCGATGGCTCTGTCCAACAACTGCTACTCGGCACTCGCAAAAAAAGGGCGCCTTCTGTTCGTCTGTCGCTTTGGCAAACTTTGCAAAGGCTTCAGCATCCTGTCTTCAGATGCTACAAGTACTGATCTCGATCCGAGCGCATCCGAGAGCCCAGCTTCCAGACTCAGGTCCTTGACACACTGCGGTTCCTGCCCCTTCCGAGCGAGGAAAAGCTGAGCTTGCAACCGTCGAGGCCAGTTTACGCCTCAGTTCCTCAGTGACGGGGCTGAATTCGAATTCGAAAAAAAAGAACTCTGACTCCATCCGAGGCGCCTCCTCCCGGCGGCTTTTCATCTCCAGCCTTTCCTGTGAAAAGCGTCCTGGTCTTGCCTTTGGCTGCTTTTCCTCTTGCCACTTCAGCTTGCCGAAGCCCGGAGCCTCTGGCTGCTTTTCCATCTCCTTAGAAAAGACTTCCGAGCTGACGTCCGCAGCACCGTCCGCGATGTCCGGACCCGAGGCAGCGACCCGCCGCCCGGCCTCCGGCCCTCCACGGCCCTCCTCCGCGGCCTCTCGGTCCTCTGGGACAATCTACGACCCCGCGGCGAGCCAAAAGAGCGGCCCTGGGTGCCAGTCTGCGCTTTGAGGACACACGAGACAAGAGGGGCGGCCAGCGGCAAACGGCTTTAACTTTTGGCACGATGTCGTCACGTGACGGGGCTGGTTAGGCTGAAGAAGCATAGTCTATCGAGACTTTATCTCGCAGGTGAAAAGAATTGTGCCAAGTGCCGCATTGCCATTGCTCTTGGGGCCACAAGACAGACTAAAGCGTGCCACATCGTCGCTGAAGGGATTGCCTCTTCTTCGTCTACGTGTCTGCAGCTATATTGTGTTGATAGCTCAAGTGGCAACGACGCTTCTGCAAAGCAGAGGGTGCAACGACACCCAGCTGCGAGTGCTACGACCGCTGCATTCTGATGGCCTGAACTCCAAGACAACAGTGACAAGCTGCGCAACCTCGCCGCTGCTGAGCCCACCTCCAAGATGTCGCCTTCCAAGCCTTGCGCCAGCCAAGCTCGAGTCGAGAGCAATGATGCCTCCATGTGCAGTTGAGCGGCTGGGAAAATCATGGTTGCTGCGCAGCTTTCGCCTGACACACACAGGAAAAGAAGAAAGCAAGTGCCTTTGTCAATCGGTTCGCCGGCCTGGACGAAACACAGTAGACGCGATCGACGCTGTACTCGGAGGCAAAGTAGGTCTGGCAGTGGAGTTCCCGGCCCTTCCCGAGCACAGAAGCACCCACATTCCGGCAGCGGCCTTGATGCAACTGATGGTTTGCTGCTCGACTCTCTCGCGATCTTCTTTCGGCAACTCACCTCGTACACACAGAGTGCGAGGAAGATAGCAACTGGCCTTTTTAGAGGCTTCCGATGCTCGAGGCCACAACACGCGTCTCCGTCGTCTCCTGTCAGCACTCAGCTCCCAGGGGAGGAAGGACAAAAAGAGGAAGGACCGGCTCTGCCTTCCAGCGCTTCCTCCTCACGGAGGATCTCGGATGCAATGTCGATGTCCACTTTGTTCCTGTGCAGGCGCAGGCAGGTGCGCGCGATGCAGGCTGAAGCTTTTCGCTTCTGCAGCAGGGGCAGGCCTAACCATAAAGTAGGGAACCTGGTTCACAGCTTTCGAACACGCATCTTCAGCAAACAACATCCCGTGGCCTCGAACTTCTGAAGCTCTTCCTGAAGGTGCAGTGAAACCCATTGAAACCCCACAACAGCTGGGACGCTTGAGGCCCCGTCGGCAAGCATGAGCTCAGCTTCGGTGAACCGCGAAGAAGTTATCAACAGGACCACATCCTGGCCAAGCCGCGGCTATCTCGAAAGCGGCTTGAGCACACATAAACCCCGGCGCAAAAAAAGGCGGCTCGGCAAAGTAGCGAATCCCCATGCCTGGCAAAGATGTCAAGGAGGAGGGACCCTTTGTCTCGAGTGATGGCAAAATCCGATTCGCAGGAAAGCAAGCTCAGGTACTGTACTACTCCGCACTGCATTTCTGGGAATTAGACGTTACTCTTCCTAGAGAACCTGTGGCCCACATCCTCGGAGGGGTTCGGGCAGAAGTGAGCATTGAAGATCTCCGGTCCCACAAGTCCGAGCTCCCAACGTCGGAGGTAGGTGGCCTTTGACATCAAACGTGAGTGGCAGCCAGCAGCAATGCCCGTTCTTCCCGAAATTTTTTGGCAAGCACCAAACATGAACTCGAGCGTCCAAGCTGGCCTTGAGAAATATCTACCCTGCATCATTGCACTGAGCATGATGGCATGGGCTGGACCTTGAACCGCTGTGCGGGAGTCTGGTGCACCTTGTTCCGTCTAGGAGCGTGTGCTGCTCAACCGCTCTTACACCTGAATCACGTCACTGTGATCGTGTGCTGCAGGCTTCTGGAAGCAAGAAGGTATGGGATTGGTGTCTCCGAGAACGCGGGCAAGGGAAGCATTCACGCCTTCGCAAAGCTTGTATTGAAGCTTGTCCTTCCTTCCCCTCCAGTTGACTACCCTCACAGAGTCAAAGCTGATGTTTTGGATGGGATAGTCAGCGCTCGAGAAGATGACTCCAGGCTGAAGCTTGGGATTCTCGATGGTGACATTCTTCAACAGGATGTTCCTGTAGATCCCCCTCTCGGCCGCCTTACAGGTGGCTCCGGGGACGTTTGGCCAGAGCAATGAGCAGGGATGGCCCTGCCAGAAGCGTCGGGAGTCGGATTGCTGCGCGGGGCCGATCCAAATGCCCCATTGCTCCGGTTCTTTGATGTAGATGTTCTCATAGGTCACGTCTTCAATCAAGCCGACCTCACCCTCGCCAATCTCACGGAACTTCATGTAAATGCCTTTGAAGGTCTTCTCCATGTAAACGTTTCGGAAGGTCACGTTCCTAACTCTGTCGTTACCCCCCTCGGAGCCAATTGTCAAGCCCAAACCACTCGCCTCCACGTTCTCGATGAGAACATTACTAGAGGATCCTTTCACAGCGAAGCAGTCGTCCTGATTCCAAACTTTGCTGTGGTGGATCCAGATGTTCTTTCCGGACACATCCCAGCCGTCCTGACATGTCATGCCGCCTACACGTGCCAGATGCTTCCCATTCCCCCTACTCTATACTTTTCCCACCAAACACGAAAAGAGTTACATGTGAGACGGTTGAATCTTTGTTCCTTGTACTTTTGTGCATCAATGGTCATTGACATGACATTGCCAGCTGAAACTCCGTGCATGGCTGGTTTCAATGAAGTCGAGTTGCCGAGGCTACACAATCCACCTGGGTGCCGTTCTGTTAGTTGATGTTTCGTGTGCAGTTCAGCGACTTGGATGGACGACCAAGGCGGTTCGAAAGAAACTCCCACGACTTAAACATGCGCCGACCAAATGGCTATTTCATGCGTGGCCTAAAGACTTGCAGCAGGAATGACAGGAGTGGGTTGGCCGGAGTACAATCACGAGTTGACGGAATTCGAGTGTAGCATGATTGTCTTGTCCCGATGAGATGTCAACAGCATCAGCACCACAGTTCTTCGCATGATCTTCAGCCATTGGCACCCGTTTTTCCAGTAAGGCACGAAGGGCAGGTTCCCACAATACTGTCCAGCTCGTGTGTCCTCAATGCTGGAGCTTTGGCCTGGCAATGCAAAATAGTGGCCGCCCCGCCCCCCCGCCCCTCATCGACATCACAGAAAGACATATCATATCCGCCGACCCCTGCTGGGGCGNNGCGCCAGTGAAATCCCGAAGGGTTGGTTGTTTGTTTGTTTGTCTGAGGCATTGCTCTTGCCCTTTTCCCGTGAAAAAGCATTAACAGGCTTCAAAGTTGGCTACGGCTACGGGTTTTCAAGTCTTTTAGAAGTATTTAGAGGCTTCCAAAGTGTGCCCAACCCCCCTCCGCCCCCACCGCCCTCACCGCTTCGTCCACCCCGACCGCCCTC